GGCTGGTTACTTCTAAAACGAATTGAACACGTGTACCTTCCCTCATGCACGCCCACATGCACAGAGACGCAGCCACACGAATACTCCGACATACAATACGAACAGTGAGTGTGTTTCATGCCTAAGAAAAAAAATGGCGAGAGAAGGAAAACAAAAAACACGTGTCAGTAAATCAGTTATGTTACATGCGTTTCCCTAAACAGCTGTAGAGCCATCCGCTGACACAAACAGGGATCACATGTGTGACGAAAAGGGCGTCTGCAGAGATATTAGTTAAAGAGGGAACAAAAAAAATATGTGTCGGGAACTAGAGAACGCCAAGGAGAAAACGAAAATAGAGAAATGTCGCTGTCTTTGAGAATGGATGTCTTTGCGACAGACAGAGATCGTCGCTCTATCGAAAAGAAATAGCCACATAAACCATTAATAACCACCGTCCTATTTTTGTGATGATGTACATTAGAAACTTATAATTAACGCCAGATTTTATGACGTTATAATTAACACCGTATATTTTATAAATCTATCATAAATACAGGATTTTTATAAATGTATAAATAATATCGACTGTTACAAGTCTATAACGAATAATTTTGTAACTATAATTAATACGGGATTTTTATGAGTCTATAATTAATCACAGGTTTTTTTTAGCAATCTATAATTAACAGCATATTTTTATATATCTTTATATATCTATAACGGATTTTTAGTAACTATAATTAATACGGGATTTTTTTAAATCTATAAATCACAACAGATTTTTAAGAATCTACTAGCCAATTCCCAGGTGTACATGGCTGCAATTGTATAACCGCACACGCCCCCTGTATGCCTGCACCCCGTTATCTAGAAATGCCTGTCTGCGTCCCTCTTGCACGCTCATCTTTTGATATGTTAAGCTACCCTCTCATCTTTTTTACGGTATGTCTTTCTTAATAAAGAAATAACATCGATAAAACTTTCTTGTTTGGTCGTTGCCCGGGGTTAAATTGTTTCAATGTTTTAGATATTCAATAAATTTCCTACGGTCGTAATAACTTTCAAATAGTATGGCATTGTTCACAAAACTAATAATCCGACAAAAACAGGAATGAAGCAAGTGCAAACCCAAGAACGCCCCCTTCTTCTTCACACGTTTACTGTAAAGCTGGGGTTAATAAGAGGTTCTTCGGAAATTTTTTCCCTTTTAACGCTTCAATAATCCTTCTCAAACAGTCTTTGCATCAAGGATTGTTCGAATGCCAATTTAGAATTGAATCATAGAAAGAAACTATTAGCTAAATTTTCTGGCGTGAATGTTTGGTTTAGATTATGATATAATGGAATATGCGTACACCTGTTTTCCCTCTCACTGGAATATGATTGGCTGGTGTCCGTCATAAATACCGACGGACGTGTAGGAGAGCCAAGAGACTTAGTCTGAGAGCTAAGTCTATAACGACGCCCATTGGACTACGCCATTGATCTACACTTCTTAGCTGCGACTACGACGCTTACCAGTCGATTACTGCTACTGTATTCTACTTGGTTATAGTAGCCAAAACCACTTAGCTACTTCGTTCAAATATATCCGGGATATATCAGATTATTTCAATTAAATAGACAAAATCTGCTCCAAACTTTTTAGCTAGTATAATAAGCATAAAATGAAATTCTGATCAATCCAACATTTCTTAGTATATGCTGAAAACCTATGGAGAATTATAAATTATAGACTTTCCTGCGAAAATTCGCGTCAAATACAAGAATATTTCGTCCAAAATTTCTTACAAAATAACGAAAATACCAAGAGAAATAATGAATCCAGGAAAAAGTGTAAAACGTAATGTGGACAACGCAAACGTCCGAAAATTAGCAGTTGTAAGTAACAAATTCATTTAATCGTCAGTAACAAAATGGACGTGCAGTTAGTGCATTTCGGAAGGAGAATTAAGCGAGCCGAATTCGAATTTTGACCGAATTCGTTACGTTCATTTTCGGACAAATAACCAACAATAAAGCAGACTGGATTGTATACCTTTGGATAACAACCATTCTATGAGAAGAAAAAACTCTAAATTCAAGCCTAAAGAGAGCTGGACTCCGTCAGGATACTTTGCGTTATACACACCTTCTGTGGCTACGGTTGTAATGTATCGATGCTGATTTTCCACCTTACCACCCCTTTCTCATCGACAAAATGTCGCTAGAATCTCGCTACTCTATCGCTATTTCCATAGCAAATGTTATGACGAGATACATTACTTAATAGTTCGGGCCTTCACAGCTAAGATCCATCATACCACGAATCCTGGGACGAATTATCCCAATTGCTTTAGTATTCTATCAGTAAGAAAAAATTTCTTGGAGTCGTCGTAGTCTGACTGAAGTCTGTAGTAAGGATATAAGGCTTGCTCCTGACTAGTTCGGTATTTACCAAACCTCCACACGAGGCAGTATGTGGCACAAGGCCAATTTTATGTGGGGCGTATCCAAGCCCGTGGTCTCCGGCAAAAATTCCGCGTAAGCCCCACATACGCAAGGTCGGGTTTGTCAACCTCCCCAAATGAGATTTCTCTTTGGCATAGCCTCGTCTGGGTTCTTCTCTTCCCGAAGACAGAGAGTTCGACAAGATCTAAGAGCTCCGTGAGCAGGTAGCTCGGTATTTACGCGAGACCCCCCAAAAAGGCGGGTGTGGTACAAGGCCGTTTTTATATAGGGCGTTCTGACCCCGTAGGTTCGGACAAAAATTGCCCGTAGACTCCGTATACACGGGGTCAGGTAGCTGTCTACCTCTCCAGACGAGACTGCCCTTCGGCATAGCCTCGTCGCGGTTCCTCTCTGCCCAAAACCAGAGAGCTCGACAGGTCTTAGGGCTTCGCGAGCGGTTAGCTTTCTCCTGGCGATTCTCGACGATAGTATATATTTTATTTGGATAAGTCCAAGTCATATTCTGGAGAGGTGCGTTCATCTCCACAACAGACAAAAAACGAAACAGGCTTCAAAAAGACAGATGATGGCGGTTAACTTTGAATTTAAATTTTTGAAAATTGTTTTATTACGGAAGCAAGGAATTGGAAGAGAGTTCCACAGGTGGGAAGTGCAAGAAAAGAAACGTTTTAATTTAAAATGCCATCATTGTTGGTATCATTTGTAAACTAGTAAATATTAATTTGAATCATCCATTCTCAATTTTTTTTCAGTTCTTCCATGTTCGATTTGAATTTGCATAAACCTAACGTATGCATAGACATGAATATTTCCAGGATTATGTTTACTCAGTTTCGACTAGTCTGGTAAAATGAGCAACAGTGACGATCGAACTCATAACTCTTAACAATATTTGTCCACAATCGCTTCTGAATCATCGCTCTAGGGCAAGCGCGGAAATTAATCAGGTTCGCTTGCTCTAAGTCTGGGTTATAATAGGGGAATGCTCAAAGGGGTTCAAACTTTGCAATTGTCTGGAAGACTCACTTCTTAATTTTAACCTAACGGCAGATGGCCGTGTCTTTTGTAATGTATACGATGCTGTTGAAATATATACGTTCATGAATGTTGGGTATTGTTGGGTTTCAGCATGATTGAATATGTGTGTGTGTGTGTGTGTGTGTGTGTGTGTGTGTGTGTGTGTGTGTTTTCTCACCAGCCTCGATAATTGCGGGTCTTTCGGAAATCTAAATTTCAACAATATGTTGGTTATCCGTTGGTTTGTCCCAAATATGCTTGCTTCTTCTCATCCTAAATACCGAGGGTCGAGCGTCATGGACAATTATTACAGTTTTGAATTTTTTTTCTCCTAGACTGGTTACTAACCACGGTTAGAGAGATTAGTCTGCTCTGGGAAGAGAATAGATTGATTTATACTTTCCGCAAGACTATTTGCGCCTAAATGAATGTAATGAACACGACTCGAACTCGGCACTCCGATTTGCCAATCCGAACGTTAGTGGGTGCCGAATCATCTTCCGACCATTACTCTGAAGCTGGCTACCGTGCTATAGCTCCTCCCCTCTCAGTACAAGGATGAAACCGTTATCCACTTGAAGGTTTGTCTTACTAAGGAGTTCATTCAACCCCTCTTTTGAAATCAAAGTGATCTTTCTCGTAGACAGACTGCTAGCCAAGGCTAAAGAGTTCCTCCTGCCCGGATTCCTAAATATGTAAAGGTAATTTTTTACGCGTCTTTCTGCACTCTTTTGTTTTCTTATCGCAAATTTCCCGAAGTTATTCGATTTGGATACTTCGATATAGTGTAAGTGTTAGCAAGCTTGCCTCGCTAGATCAAATACGACTGAATAGCGAGTTCAATCCTCACTGGATGCCCCATACTTTAAACCTTGTGCCACATCTAAGCTACGCTAAGAGAACCGCCATATCGTTATTCCATGACTGCTTAAAGCAATTAAAACCAAGACAAAGTAAATAATGTGACAGAAAGTTTAGGCAAAAGTGAGGGATCAGTAAAATATTAATAAAGCCTCATGTCAGAAATCCATGAAAATCTATGACTAATTTCTCTTTGTAATGATTTTGCTTTTCAATCTTTCTTTCTGTTAAATCCACTGAAGATAAAAAGAATGCAAATTGCGGAGGGGAAAGCAACAAACGACGGAATGACGAAGGGATTAGAGAAACAAAAAAGAAAGAGAAACGGAAAAGAAGAAAAGAGAAGGAAATGCTAAATATAAGGAAGGAAGTAAATGGAAGAGCGAACGGAAAAGAGAAAAAGAGAAAAGAAAGAGAGGAAATAAAAGGCAAAGGGAAGGAAACGGACAAAACGTAAATGGATAGTTATTTTCCAAGCGTAGCTGAGATGTGGTACAAGGCCGAAAGTATGGGCACCTAGTGAGGATCGAAGTCACTTTTTAGTTGTAACGAGAGACAAGATTGTTAGTGAGACAAGATTGCTAACCATTACACCAAGCGGAGGTGCCTCGGTACATAAATGGATAAAGATTAGAAACCTTTGCCGTACGATTTATAAAATTCAGATTAGTCTGACACAGGAGCATAATTTATAGATAGATAGATAGATAGATAGATAGATAGATAGATAGATAATGAATAGAGTCAGATAGATATGAATAGACTGAGATAGATATATAGTATGAATAGACCGTGATAGATAGCTAGATATGAATAGAGTCAGATAAAAATGAATAGACTGAAATAAGATAGATAGATAGATAGATAGATAGATATGAATAAACAGAGATAGAGAGATAAATATGAATAGTTAGATATGAATAGACTGTGATAGAAAGAAAGAAAGAAAGAAAGAAAGAAAGAAAGAAAGAAAGAAAGAAAGAAATTAATTAATAAACTGAGATAGATATGAATAGTTGGTTGGTTTGCTGATTTTGTTTAGCAGCCTATCAACATGTATGGGTTATTTAATGCCGAAATCTAAATATTTTGCGTCCGTAATTTTATGCTTTCAAAGTAAAGGTATTTTTAAAATACATAGTTTGCAGATCATAAAATGTATTGTTGGTAATTTTAAAAAATTGTATTACTGGTAATTTCATCACAAAAATTGTTGAGTTTTGTTTGGTGGCTCAATATTTGCTACCACCGATGAGTGAGGATGAGCATAGGAACAACAGGAGTTAAGAGGGGGTTCCCCGCTCCGGAAAATTCCCATCTCCCAATCAGAAGATTTGCTGCGAGATGTAGTTTATCGTCATACCCGGGACGAGATAAGAATACATTGTGATAGATAGATAGATAGATAGATAGATAGATAGATAGATAGATAGATAGATAGATAGATAGATAGGCAGAGAGACTGAGATAAATATAAAGACAGACAGACTGAGATAAATGGATAGATATACAGACAGACTGACTGAGATAGACAGATAGATAGATAGACAAACAGACGGACGAGATGAGATGTGATAGGAAAAATAAAAATCTTAACTTTTTCAAAAACTAATGCTTACCCGACACAGGGCTCAGGAGCCACTCAAGTTAGATGTTTACTATATGGACTTATATTAGCGTAGGAAAGGACAAGCGTTAGAAGCATAGGGCTGAAGCAGACTTTAGAAGGATCCAGAAACCGAATCCTAAAAAGGAAACAAGGGAAAACCTCTACTCCTGTTCGAAAAGCCCGGGGAAGAGTGTGAACCGGACTATACAAAAGAGATTGTATATTTAAAAACCTATAAGGAAAATCTAGATAAAATTTTCATAAAGCGATAATACGTAAACCAATTAAAAAAATCTTCAATGTTTTTTTTTTTTTGTGTTCATTTCTTTTTCACTTTTGCCCTCCTCGAACTTTCTTTTTGAACAAATACTGTCATCAGCAAGAACAAGAATACGTTTTGTTTTCACAAACATCTCAGCCGATATTTGTATTCGTCATGTTGATATGTCATGTATACGGCGATTACAACGACAGCGATTACTTGAACGAGAAGAAAAAAAAACGTCCAGTTGAATTTGTCGTCTTATTCCCTTAACAAATGTCAAAATGGAGTCGACACAGAAAACGGGGGATTTATTTTCAATTCTTGTTCTTATAATCATATATAATCCCGCCTTGTCACGCTGTGATTTCATTAAAATAATAAAATATGAAAAAAAAAAACGTGTGAAAAGAGAAACAGACGAAAATTCTCTTGTCACCAACTATGCAGAGGGACCGCACACATAATGCAAAATAATACTTTTTCTTTAAGAGAGAAAAGAAAAGTCTTAAACACACACACAAACAACACACACACTCACACACACAACCCATATGTACATTTTACTGAGTTATAACTTAATCTAGTATGGGATGACATAAGTTGTAAAATAATATATGTTTTATATAAAACAAATTATAAGTTGTAAAAATACATATATACACATATATATATATATATATATATATATATATATATATATATATATATATATATATATATATATATAATCTTATTTAAAAATAAATCTAGCTGAATTCCTCTAGTAACCACTTTCAATCCCACTTTGCCTCCGCTATCCCAAATAATCAAAAGTCGCTGGGAAATACTACATCTCAAACCAGACCTAAAAAAATTGTTTAAGGAACCCGGACTTCTAGCATATCGTAGACCTAAGAACCTAAAAGAAATCATAGTAGTAATCACATTTCAGGGGACAAGGTAATCCGTAATAAACTAACAACAAAAATAACAGGATTTTCCCAACCATGTAACAACAAAAGAAATTTATGCTGCAACCACATTAGACACATGAATTCATTCACTAGCTCAGTCACTAAATCTACTTTCAAAATCTACCACGATTCTAACTGTAGAAGTCATAACATAATTTACCTCCTAGAATGCACACTATGCCAGAAACAATATGTAGGAAAATCTGAATGGCCCTTTCACTACAGAATTAATAATTATCGCAATCGAATTAAGTCGACTCCCCATGAAAGATTATTACCTGTAGAACAACATTTCCGCCTGGAAAAACACGATTTCAAAACCCAAGCCAAATTCACTATAATTGAGAGAATAGAAAAGTTCA